AACCGTCGCATTCTTTCACGATTTTGAATCCTAGGCTCATAATCGACTGAAGGAAGTGTTTCTTCCGAGGAGTTTTGGCAGAAGTCACCTATGATCATCTGTAGCACGACAAAATCGGGCTAGATTATGGACTTTAGTTATTTTTCTTTTTTTCGTACAGATACGACGGACTAGCTATTCATTCCTTTTCTTAGAAATTTCATCATCTTTTGTCATATATATAAATTTTACAATCTTTTGTCAGATATACAAGTTTCACCATCCTTTGTCATATATACATAAATTTCATCATCATATATTATATATATATAGGATAGTCCACAGTTAGTTTTAAGTCGTCGTGTCACATTCGTATATCGTCTTCTTATCGTCGTCCATTTTTTTTGTCATCATTTATTCTATTCACATTTTTTAAATATACATTTAACAGTTCCAAGAGGTTTCATCGGATTTTCAAGAGTCAGAAAGCCTACCGTTCACATACACTTGTCTGTATGTTGGCAACGTGAGGCCCAGCAGCTTGTTTGTTTGGACGCTCATCAGCTCAAAGACGCTTTCCGGGAATAACAACTTGAAATAATCAAGCGGTTAAAAAGTTTTCGTGTCTTCCAGCACCCCACGTTGTTTCTTGAATTCTGGCAACCAGGATGCATCCCACGGATCGATGTTCGGATAGTCTTCCCACACGACAGAAGTGTGACATGAAGTGACTATCTGAGCACGCTCACTATCGATAGGCGACATTTCAGCAGCGCTTTCAGTTTCACTTTCAGTATCCGTTTTGCCGGAAATCTCAAAGTCCTCGTCCGACATAGCTGAATCCGAGTCCTCAATAACGCGCAAAACGTCTTTTACTTAATATTTCAGTTTACCATCTCGCTTGCTTGTCGTCATTTATATATGGAATCAAGTTAAAAAAATTCAATAAAGCAGCAAAACACTTGATCTATAAACGATACATAGCACATGGACTAAAGTAGGTCAGCATAGATAAAAACATGCCGACAAACATAAATCAATAAGTGCTCAGTGCTGCCTCTAGCGAACACAATTAGCTATTGTCATTTATTCTACTTCTGTCGACGCACAGCAATTTTGTCGACTCCCGCCCTCGTTCCCTGAGGTCGACTTCGGTCGACAGCTGCCTTCAAAGAGTTAAATTCTGGTGTATATGTAAGAGAGAATGAACATTGGAAGACATACAGCATAATGTGTAAAGTCCTTGAAACTCTTCCATAAATTCATTAAATAGTTTTCTTACATTTTCAATTACGTCTTGGTTCACACATTTGCTAATTGAAAAATTGACAGCTGCAACGAACTTCATGAGATGGTTATAATAATTTTTTGATAATAGTTTCTTGAACGATATTGATCCAAAATGCAGTAAACATCTTAACTCGCTAGCTCTCATTTTTTTGTATAATTGGATCGCCCGATAACGTCTCCATGTAGTCGATGGTACTTTAAGTGATTCGGTTTTTGTAGATAGTTTAGGCTAGAAGAAAAAGTTGAGTGTTTAAATGGGATCTAACTACAATAGATAGAAGCATACTATTTTGTTAACAAGAGACCATGTATTTTTCTTATATTTTGGTGTGAACCATAACTTCAGCATTTGTTTAAAAACACCATGATAAACTGGATGCAAATTGTCGATCATAAATGATTCTCCAGGATCAAAATATTTCAATCGCTCTAATTTGCACGTTACTAAAACGAAATCGAAATTGAACAACGATAGTATCGCCCAGCATCTTCTTGCTGAACACGATGTCCCTTAAACGGTGCTTCTTCTTTACCGCTATTAATCTTTGTGACATTTTCGTCAAATGTTTGTTTGGTTCGAACAGGCGAAGTTTCTTCGTAAGAGAACACGTATATGGTTGTATGACAAACATTTCCAATATCGAATTTAACGGCCTTTGTGTAGCAACATTCGCAACCGTAATTGCACTTGTACGTAGCCATATTCTGTAAATGAGACTGTGCCGACTTGTCATTGCAGCTGGCAACGCAATACATAGTATGATAAAATGAATCATAGTACGGTTTCTCAGAAGGTATGGGATTATGGTTAGAAAGACCTATTTGGAATAATGCAATTTATTTCTCCACTATTGAATCGAACGCTATTTTCGTCATTGTTCGGTTTCTATTAGGGCTGTGACAGTTACCATTTACTGTTACCACTGTTACTCGGTAACTGTAACTGCTGAACATTCTTGGTAACGGTAACGGATAAGCAGTTACCGTACGAATAACGATAACGACCAGTTACAAGTAATGGTAACTGTTCAATATATCTTTCAAGAGTCAAATCTCTAAATATCTAGTTATCCAGGGTGGCGATAAGGCTACCAACTCTCACCCTCACCCTGGATACCTAGAGATTTAGAGATTTGACTCTTGAAAGATATACTGAACAGTTACCATTACTTGTAACTGGTCGTTATCGTTACTTGTACGGTAACTGCTTATCCGTTACCGTTACCAAGAGTTTGGGCTATTCAATTCCACCTTGCTCATCAAGATCTATTACATAAAATGGTTGCCCATCTTCTAACAAGAATAAATGATCGATAATTAAACGTAAACAAATTTGTACCATCTTGTTAGATGGACTAGTTTTTGCTCGAATAATACCAGCTAACAAAATATTTTCGACGTATCTTCTTTGTGGAAAAGGTAGTTCATTTATCATGAATATAAATGGCCATAGACCACTGTCCGAACGCATTTTATGTTTTTGAATACCATCAGTGTTCAGCGTAAGAGTAAACGTTGTTTCATTTTCTTTCGATAAAAATTTACCATACCATGTATCTTTCAAATCATGTTTGTTGTTTTCTCGCGTCTGTTGCATCAATTTATAGATACGGGTTTGCTTCAATATTTGTTATAATTGAGATTTTAAGAAACCAAGAAAAAATTGATAAGAATATTTTTAATTGTAGTTTCTGTATAATGTACTTTTTGTTAATTGTGTTTCAACATATATATCACAATCGCATATTCTACTTCTAGATGTTTAATATCATCGTGTTTCTTTGTTAAATGTCGCTTGAAACTCCCTGATAACGGACAAAAGGCCTGTGTTTGATATGTTTGAAATAAATTACATATGTAATCGATTGTATTATTCAACAATACAATCGATAATATATGTAAGTTAGAACTACTATTACGAATTTTGTAGATCATCATCACGGAAGCTGAATCATACTTATTAGGTGTTTTTCTCCGATCAATTATGATATCTAGAGAGAAAATTTTTGTATCGAAAGTGTGTAAAGTTAGCGACTATGACATTCGATATAGTACATACTTTCATCCATGTTTGAGCAACTATTTGTTGAAGTGTCTGGTAACACGTCCAAAGAACTAGCAATGTTAAAAACATCAGGCGCTGTAAGACAAGCAAAACACCTATATCGCAAAAATGAACACCTGTATATACAAAAATGAACAATGTGAAAAATAACAAAAACTATCAAAAATGATGTGAACTCCACCACTCACACATATGCGGCATCATCCGGAAATCGCCGTCGCCGCGGGTTCTTCTTCAAGTGTATTCTTCGAAGTACAGCTCTACACGGCAAGGCGTGGTGCTTCGTTCGCATTTTCGTATGTTTGCGGTTACGTATGTGGTTATCCATGTACCTATCTACTTAAACATAATTTAAGGTTTCGGTTTTTTTTACACCTTAACGCTCTTAAAATTTTGAATTTGTAGGCTTGTCTTTTGTACTTCGATAATCTTACACTTGTACACTTTAAAACTTTTACACGGCATCATCCGGAAATCGCTGTCGCCGCGGATTCTTATACGTTGAAGTGTTACAATGTTAAAGTGTAAACATGCATAATTGAGGGTGCGGAAGTGAGGATGTGGGTGGAGCACTTCTTCACCCACTTCACTCTCACTTCTAATTTGCACGTTCCTAAAACGAAATCGAAAACCGCAAAATAGATAGAAAGTACATATCCTCGTGGAAAAAAATAATTGCACACAGTATTTTTAAGATATTTTCCTTACGAAAACATACTTTTACAAAAATGATCACATATTCTGATAACGCTTGGAATTCTCTACAATACTGTATATTTAAATCTGGTCTTGCATTTATTTGCTGAAAAATACATTGAGTGCAATGACGGCCCCCTCATCGTCAGATTCCCAGAAATTGTAATGAGTGTGGCNAGGACCCAAAGGATAATGTTTTTTTTAAAAAGACGCGCCGCGAAATGCTCTACAAAACCATACCTAACCTTTAAGTTTAGAGCGTCACTCAAGAAAACTACGCAGATTATACGAAAGACGAAGAAAATGAAAACTTTGAAAATCTGTTATTTTTTTTCCACCTGAACCTTTTTCTTTTGCTACTATTTATTATTATAAAAGAAGGGTTGAAGAGTGAGAAGTCAGCTCTTTTTGTACCTCTGAATGTGCTCTTTCTCGTGGTCTGTAAAAAAATCTTTTAGAACAGATGGTGTGGAAAAAACTAAAAAAGTAGCGAAAAACTGCACCTTTTTGGTACTTGTCAATTGGGGTATAAATACAAGACCAGATTTAAATATACAAAATTGTAGAGAATTCCAAGCGCTATCAGAATATGGGGTCACTTTTGTAAAAGTATGTTTTCGTAAGGAAAATATCTTAAAAATACTGTGTGCAACTTTTTCCACGAGGATATACATAGACACACAGATTAATATGTATGTTGTATACAACAAAGTAGCCAAGGTGTTAAAGTTCTAACACCTCTCTGGAATTGAGTCTAGAAATGTTGCCTAGAACCTTATCGCATATTACATGTCCGATCTAGATTCTACAACATTCCACTGTGCCGTTCCACTTCTCCATTCCATTTCTCCGTTATTCCTTATTTTCCAAACCTATCTAGTTTTTTATATCGATAGATAGAACCTTCATTCATACGCCATTCATATGTTTAAGCGAAAAACAAAAAGTGCTAAAACTTTGCATTAGCGGCGCTTTAAATCTGTTTTAAATTTTGGAGATGCGTTAAGGATTAAATATATTAGATGATACATTCTTTTAAGAATACCATAACGGAAATAATTTGATTTAACATTTATCTTCAATTTTTCTTTAAAAAATCATGTTCGGCACGATAATATTATTAAATCGATCATTTCATCATTACCGGCATCAAAATAGCTATCAAAATGAATACTGAACGTTTCTAAGATGCGTGGAAGAGTGTAGAACACAATATTGCTAGATAAGCTTTAGAAATTGAAAGTTTATTTTGCACGTCTCATAACAAAAGAAAGCACAAAAAACGGAAGAGGTAAAACAAGTAAAATAAGAAAAAAATTCGTTTCAGTTACCTTAGTTTACTTTTAGAAAAATTCTTGTATGTTTACCTTTTCGGATGGCAGTGCGAATGATTCATATATATTTAGGAAAAACCATTAACAACGCCATTGTTTTATACAGCTCAAATATTTACATATGTAGTTGAGAATCTATAGAATTCGGGGATTCTATAAACTTCTGACAAAACCGGAGATAGTAAAGAATGAAATACGTCGGCTGGGGAGTGTACAAAATAGATAAAAACAAGATTTCGACATCAATTTTAAGTTTTAAACTGAGTCATTTTCCTTGTTCTTCTAGGCAACATTTTCTAGAATCATTTTCATATGAGGAATCCAAAAATCACATCGGTGAGTGGGACGATAGCTTATGGTATTATCTTGCTCTCAAAAAAAAATAAGGTTTTTTTTGGGTCAAAGGTTCTCTATTCAGAAAACGGTTTGACGCTCTTTTAGTTTGGCATCTCCAAAAATTAATTTTGCAGGTAAATTAATGTTGGACGCGTTCTGCTGTATTTGGAAAACAAAGCTCATCTACAATAAAAAATCTGATGAGCAAAAAACAAAAACTAGAACAAACAAGCGAAATGAGAAAAAAGAAAAAATCTCAAAAATGGGAAGAACCAACTGAATAGGCTTTATACCAAAAACAAAAAAACACACACATACATAACGGAAAAACAGCATCTTTTCGTGATGGTGATTAGATGACGGGGCTGTTTCTAATTCCGCGGAAGTAAATGGCATTGTCATCTACATCGCCGTCGTGGACTGTCATACTTTCCATCCTTACAACAAGTTGTTGAGGTTGTCGGTCTGGGAACACCTCGTCATCAAAAGACGTCTCATCGGTGTCGTGTCCTAGTTAGGAAATTGGCGCGACGACGATTTTTGTGACTATTGGTTCGTCTGCGGATCACCAGCACTCTTTTTTTGATGTTGAGAGTTGGGATCCGTTGATTGTGGTTGCTGTCGGTTACCGGCTACCAATTTTTCGCGCCGTAAACGGCTTTTTTCCGAGTTGATTAAATTCGGTGTCGATTGTTTAGTAATGGTTATTGGTGATTGGGTTGAGGTTGGTTCTGTCAGAGGGGCAGTTGTCTGTTTGACTCATATAGACGAAAAGCAAAACAATTAACTTTTTCCACTGTGCCATTACTTTTGGTAATTCATGCCATTGCACACATGTTTCTAATTTTTCAATAAATGTTTTCCAGTGAGAAGGCTAAAAGAAGCAAAAAAAAAAAGATTTTAATGAAAAGAAGAACATTGAGCAAACCATGCTCAGTGTTTCAGTTGTATCATATCAAGATCATCTTACGCCAACATTCTAAAGAAAATAAAGTCTGAACATTATGTATTTTGCTATTTACCTAAGTTAATATATCAAACGCTATTTGACCTTTTGGGTACAATGTAATTACGTAGCCAACACCCGGTAAGTGAGTTTGAAAATAGCGAGGCTGGCCTAGAAATATGTCTTTCTCCATTACATTTGGTTGTAATGGTATGCATCGTTTTGTTATTGCAGGAGGAATTCGTCCAATCCAAGACGATCGTATTAATGACCAGTAAATAGTATTTGGATGATGTAGAATGTATGTTTTCTAGTATCTTTCCTACTACACACATGTTCATCGTCCAGTAAATTAAGATTTGAAATGGTAGGATCGCAAAGCATCTTTTAATGGCGACAAAGGAAAATCAGTCCACTGTAAAGAATCTTGAGTCTAACTAGAAGCGCAAGTGTCTAGCCTTGTGAAAAAGTTATCACTCTGAAAAAATCTTTTTAGAGTGATAACTTCTTCATCAAGCCACAAACGTCTTGTTTAGATAGTTCAGCGTCTTGAAACACGACTTAAATGAGAGCTGATTGATTTTTAAAACATTCGCCATTGAACCGTAAACTGTGCATTTTATTTATCGTACACCACAATCACTTAAGTTCCTCCATGGCTATTCCAATCATCTCTTAAAACCAATATTACATTCCAAATGTTTTCGTTTGAATCTTTTCTAATATGAAAAACTTGAAAGATAGCTGTCATTGAAAATAATATTTCCTATTCGTCTTTGAAATAACTCTGTAATCGTCATTAGCGCAAAATCGACTTTTTATACGGAGAACAGAATCGGTTCAAATTTTTTTTCTGAAGAGCTTATTATGTAAATCGACGGGCAGCAAAGTATCTCTTGATTCAAATCACTTTTCGCATTTTGGCGCGAATAGTGGCGCCACTTAAAACGCGCTACTATTCGCG